AGGCTCCACTGGGTACCAGGAGGGAACGACCCAGTGAAGCCAGGGGGGCGGCGCAGCCAGATCTCCTCGTGCAGGCTGCCCTATAAGAAAGCTGTGCTGAAGGCAAGAGAGTGAAGCTCGTAGTCACGCTGAGCGGCAACGTGCAGCAGCACCCGAAGAGTGGTCATCTTCGGGGTCGGGGAGAAGGTCTGGAAGAAGTCAACTCCCTCTCGCTGACTGAAACCTTGAGCAACGTAACGAGCCTTAAAGACAGGCGGAGAACCTGGCGGCCGCTTCACCCTGAAAATCCACATGCCATCGACGATGTTCGCCCCAGGAGGGGGAACCTCGTCAATGTAAGTGCCTATGTACATCCAGGATGCCATCTCTGCGTCCATGGCTGTCTCCCACTGAGAGGAGTACTCACCTGCGATCGCCTCAGCGTGAGAGCGCGGGGTCTGGATGTCTGAAGCATCCGGGTCTCCCTCAGGGGCAAGTAGCATGGCCACGAGATGAGGCGCAGCAGCTGCAAGACACTCAAGGTCCTCCTGCCTGTCCTCAAGGACGTCCGTGCCAAGAGCACACTCACCCCCGACGGACGGAGGACAGACAGACTCCGACTCAGCAACAAGGCTAGCGGCGTAGTCTAGACGACAGGCAGCAGCAAAGTCAACAAGCTCAGCGACGAAGGCAGACGCAGCAGCAGACTCAAACGACGGGTCAGTGACAACAGTGGCTAGCAGACGTGTGACAGTAGGGTGCTCAGCACGAAACCGATCAGACTCAGGGTCAGCAACGACAGGCAGAGAAGACGCAAGAGGAGACGGCAGAGGAACACGCTGCGGAGCAGAGGACGGACACAGAGCTATGAGGTGTGTGCAGGGGACAGCCGGCGGACGCGGACGAGGAACAGGACGACCAGTGCGGACAGGCGAGGCAGGACGCGACGCAGGCTCACGATGCTCAGCAAGACGTCCTGGCTGCTCAGTGTAAGGAGAAGGAGCAGGTAGCGGTGAGCCAGGCTGTAACGGAAGACCAGTAGACCACGGGAGGCTAAGAACCTGGTGAAGCACGGAGTCAGGCGGTGGCAGAGACGACGGAGACGGCGGAGCAAAGAACAGTCGTGGCTGCGCAGCGCCACCAGCACCCGCAGCGCCACCAGCACCAGCAGCTCCAGCACCACCAGCAGCTCCAGAACCTCCAGCTTCTGCGCCTCCAGTAGCAGCACCTCCAGCTCTAGTGACTCCAGCAGCAGCACCTCCAGCTCCAGCGCCTCCAGCAGCTCCAGAACCTCCAGCTCCAGCGACTCCAGCAGCAGCACCTCCAGCTCCAACGCCTCCAGCAGCAGGACCTCCAGCTCCAGGGACTCCAGCAGCAGTACCTCCAGCTCCAGCGCCTCCAGCAGCTCCAGAACCTCCAACTCCAGCGCCACCAGTAGCAGCACCCCCAGAACCGGCACCTCCAGCCTCACGGTCCCCAACTCCAGGGTCGACAGGACCAGCACCAGGGCCTCCAGCAGCAGCACCCCCAGAAAAGGCACCTCCATCTCCAGGGTCTCCAACTCCAGGGTCGACAGCACCAGCTCCAGGGCCTCCAGCCCCAGTACCTCCAGTAGCAGCACCCCCAGAGCCGACACCTCCAGCTCCAGGAGCAGGTGCAGTCCCGACATCTCCAGTACCTCCAGTACGAGCACCTCCAGGACTAGAGACACCAGCACTCCTAGTGCCTCCACGACAAGCAGCTCCAGCAGCACGACTCCTCAGGCAGGTACGCAAGCCACTCTCGTGCTTGCTGTGGTGAGACAGGCCCGCGTCGTGAAACGAGACCCAGAGGAACGCCAGCAGACTCAGCACCCCCAGCTCCAGGGTTGACAGCACTAGCTCCAGGGACTCCAACCCCAGTACCTCCAGCCGCAGCACCCCCAGAACCAGCACCTCCAGCTCCAGGGTCTCCAACTCCAGGGTCGACAGCACCAGCTCCAGGGCCTCCAGCCCCAGTACCTCCAGCAGCAGCACCCCCGGAACCGACACCTCCAGCTCCAAGAGCAGCACTAGTCCCGGAAGCTCCAGTACCTCCAATACGAGCACCTCTAGGACCAGAGACACCAGCACTCCCAGCGCCTCCACGACAAGCAGCTCCAGCAGCACGACTCCTCAGGCGGGTACGCGACGCAAGCCACTCTTGTGCCTGCTGTGGTGAGACAGGCCCGCGTCGTGAAACGAGACCCAAAGGAACGCCAGCAGACTCAGCACCCCCAGGCTCTGCACCCCGGCACCTCAAAGACGGGCTCAGCACCCCTAGACTCCGCAGCCGCAGGCTCAGCACCCCCAGGCTCCGCACTCCCCAGCACCTCACGCACAGGCTCAGCACCCTCAGAAGCAGCACCCCCAGCAGTACCTCCCGCAGCAGCACCTGAGTCGCTAGTGACCTCTACAGGCTCAGCCAAGGGGGGCGGGTCTACCTGAGACACACCTGAAGGAGCAAGACCCTGAGGCGGGAGGGGGTCTACCAGAAGGGGACCTGGAGCGAGGAAAAGCGGCGGGGGAGGGAGAGGGGCAGTGCGGTAGGGGAAGAGACGGTAGAAAGGAACCGACTCGTCAAAGGTGACGTCCTGAGAGGGGAAGACACGACGCGAGGTGGGGTGGTAAAACTGCTAGCCAGACGCGTCAGGGACAAAGCCAAGGAAGACACAGGGAATGGTGCGGGAGGAGAGCTTGTCCGCAGACGTATCGCGGACAAGGGCATGAGCACCCCAGACCCGGAAACGCGACGCATCGCCAACCTCCCCCATCCAACGCAGTATGGGCGAGGTCTCCGGTAAGGAGACACGGGGCCAGAGGTTGAGCTGGTGCGCATCGTACCGAAGCGCAAACGGCCACAGAAAATGGGGAGCCGCCGCATGAATCAAGGAGGTACGAGCGACCTCCATGACTAAGCCAATGCGGCGCTCAGCAACCCCATTTTGCTGTGGTGAGCCCGGAAGCGTGAACGACTGCTCGATGCCCTCCCGCTGACAGAAGGCCCGCAAGAGGTCGGAGGTGAACTCACCACCTCTGTCAGAGTGCAGACGCAGGACAGGAAGGTCCTGGCAGAACCTGCGGCGGAGTCGGAGACGAACTGCTCGGATCCAAGGGATCAGGACAGCAGGGACCTCACCCTTGGTGCGCAAGGGGAAGACCGTGGTGTACCGCGAGTAGTCGTCGACAACCAGCAGAAAGTACTGCTCACCGCCCTATTCACAAACGCGGGCTGGGCCCCACACGTCCAGGTGGGGGGTCTGCAGAGGAGCCTCTGTCGGGGGAAACGAGGAGGAATGAGGAGCGGCGCGCTGCCGCCCCTCGACGCAAGGAAGGCAGGGCGACGCAGGCGAGGCAGGGAGGGGAGGGAGAGACCCGGGAAGACCAGACACAAGGAGGCGACGGTGCATGCCACGTAGACGTGGCAAGGAGGGGTGACCCAGGCGGTGGTGCCAGAGAAGAGTCTGGTGCAACAAGGAGCGACATTCACAAGGGGAGGCTACCTGACCTGACGCAGACACCTGACCAGTAGCAGCTACCTGAGGAGGCGCAGTCGTCAGTGTATAAAGACTCGACCCTGGCCGACGGGTAAACGTGGCCAGGTGGCGGCCGGTCCGGGAGCACGTACAGATCGCCACACGCTGTCCTCCAGGGGTAAAGGTGTCAACCCACTGGTCCTGGAGAACTGCGTTGCTCACCAAATTCGTAGAGAACGAGGGGAGGTGGAAGCCTGTCAGTGAGCCAGACGGAACCGCCGGGCACGGAAGCACAGTGGTGGACCGTGCAAGAACTGGGCCCCCTGAGGGGTCAGCCGGAGAGACTGCAACAGGTGCAGTGAGTGGTGTGAGTGCAGTACTGTCATGAAAGAAACAGCGGGAAGCACCTGAGTCAAGCGTGAAGGTGTGCAAGGCCTGAGCAGGCGCAGTACCTGAGGAAGCAGACTCGCTAGTACCTAAGGCAGCAACCTCACTAGCACCTAGAGCAGCAACCTCTATACCGGGGTCGTACTGCACGCACAGGTGACAGTCACGCTCAGCACCACCAGGCAAAGCAGACATGGCAGTAAGGATGGCGTCATAGTCTAAAGCAAAGACAGCAACGCCCGACCTAAGCAACTCAAGCCAGGGGGGGATCTCAGCCTCGTCGCCAGACTCTGTGCGCCAGGCGTCAGTCAAATAGGCGAAGCAGCGGGACTGTGCGTGACCAGGTGTCTCACAAGTCTCACCAGCTCGACGACCTGTGCGAATGACGTACGGGCAGCGACCCGGACTCAGAGACGGCCCACGCTGGTAAAGCCACTCACGAAGCTGCCGGGGCGTAAGGGTCGGACGCCGCCGTAGCTGCATCTGGCCACCGCCAGACACTCCGCACCAAACAGCGCCACAGTGACCGCTACTACGGCCGCCACCACTCCCACTGCTGCCACCACCGCCGTCACCACTCCCACCGGTACGTCAAAGGGAAGTCATGGCGGGCAAGCTAGGAGGAGCGCGACCTCTAGGGCAGTACAGAGTGAACATGGCGGGCAAGCTAGGAGGAGCGCGACCTCTAGGGCAGTACAGAGTGAAGGCAGTAGCACGAGTAGTAGCAGCAGCAGTAAGAGCAGCAGGGCGGCGCGCGGCCAGAGCAGGGCGGCGCGCGGCCACAGCAGGGCAGTAGCAGGGAATAGCTCCTAGGGTAGAAGCACCTAGGGCCTTTTTTTAATTTAAATAATTTTTTAATTTTATTTAGGGTTTAGCAAGGCGCTGGCGCATGGCAGGGTGTTGGCGCAGGGCAGGGCGCGGGCGCAGGGCAGGGAGCTGGCGCAGGGCAGGGTGCCAGCGCGCGCAGGGCAGGGCGCTGGCGCAGGCTGCAGCAGCGCGTGACGCGAGGGGCAGCAGAGCGCGACGCGCCGGCTGCCTTAGGGCGCGACGCGCGGGCTGCAGCAGAGCGCGACGCGCGAGGCAGCAGCGCGCGACTCGTGGGCTGCCTTAGGGCGCGACGCGCGGGCTGCAGCAGAGCGCGATGCGCGGGGCAGCAGCGCGCGACGCGCAGGCTGCCGTAGGGCGCGACGCGCAAGGCCGCAGCACGGGCGTAGGGCAGGGTGCAGGCGCAGGGCAGGGCGCTGGCGTAGGGCAGGGCGCTGGCGCAGGGCAGGGCGCTGGCGCAGGGCAGGGCGCCGGCGTAGGGCAGGGCGCTGGCGCAGGGCAGGGCGCTGGCGCAGGGCAGGGCAGGGCGCCGGCGCAGGGCAGGGCGCTGGCACAGGGCAGGGCGCTGGCGCAGGGCAGGGCGCTGGCGCAGGGCAGGGCGCTGGCGCAGGGCAGGGCGCTGGCGCAGGGCAGGGCGCCGGCGCAGGGCAGGGCGCTGGCGCAGGGTGACGCCAGGCAGGGCAGGGCAGGGCGTGCGCTAGGCAGCGCGACGCGGGGCAAGGCAGGGCGCGCGCGGGGCAGCGCGACGCAGGGTAGTGGGGTAACGCGGTAACCGCAGTCGGAAGCTAAGTATGGTGGGCCCGAAAAAAAAAAAACGGTCCTACGGACCTACTGCTCTGAAACCATGTCAAGATAGCAAGCAGGAATGGTTGCATTGAATGAAATATGGGTACAAGTACTCTCCCTAACTTCGGGTTGTACCCCATATGGGCTACCCCACTATAGCCTACACTAAACTAACACATATATAGTTTGACAACCCTCGCCCCTACCGTCGCCATCACCCTAGCGATCTCGTCTCACATCCCGTCGCCATTCCTCTCCCACAACCCTTCCTCTCTTGTTGCCCTTCCTCACTTCCGTCGCCAGTTCGCTATCCCGTCGCCCTTCCTCTCTCTCGCCGCCCTTCCTGTCTCCCGTCGCCCTTCCTCTCCCGTAGCCCTACTTCTCTCTCCTCCTGCCGCCCTCGCATCTCATCGCGATCGCGTTCTCCGCGCACTCCCGTCACCTTTCCCCTTTCCTCTCGCCCTTCCTGTCACTGTCGGCACCACGAAACGCTCTCAAGTAGTCACCATCACGCTCCTCTCTACCCGCGCCTCTCATCCTTCCGTCGCCGTCGACCTCCCTCTCCCTTCCGTCATTGTGTTCGTCACTCTCACGCCCTCGCATCGTGTCACATGCCTATTCTAAGCTCGTGGCGGTCGTATAGTAGCGCCTCTTTATTTTCCGCGTTCGTCAATCCCCGCTCACGGCGTCACTCTCCCCATCACCTACACTGACGCCAATGTGCGCGCAACAAACGCAGCCCCGTCGCCCTTTCCTCTCTCTCGTCGCCCTTCCTCTCTCCCATCGCGCTTCCCTCTCCCATCGCCCTTCTCTTTCCCGTCGCGCTTCCTCTGTCCCGTCGCCTTTCCTCTCTCCCGTCGCCTTTCCTCTCCCCCCTCGCCCTTTCCCTCTCCCATCGCCCTTCCTCTTTCCCCTCGCCCTTTCCTCTCCCGTCGCCTTTCCCCTTTCCCCTCGCCCTTCCTCTCTCCGTCACCCTTCCTCTTACCCTTGCAATCCCTTCCCTTCCCCACAATATCGCCATCCCCCTTTCCTTTCGATCAGCCTACCTTTCTTCCATCCCCTCTCGTCGCCCTTATGACCTCCCCTACCTTCCCGTCTTCTTGTTGTTCTCCCATCCCCTCTCTTCGCCCTCGGTGTCTCCGCTCCCCTCCTGTCTTTCTTCCTCTCTTCGCTCCCCTAACGTCGCTCTTCCCATCTCCGCTTCCATTCCCGTCGTTGTTCCTCTCGCCCTTCCTGTTTCCCGTCGTTATTCCTCACTGAGCAGGCCCCAGGTCCTTCGATGCACTGTTCTCACAGGTCGACTAGCTCTGGATCACCTAAACGTTCTCGTTGCATGTGTGTGGGTGGTCTAATCTGCTTGTGTCGTTGCGTCACGCGAAGTTGGTGAAGGAACTACTATTGTACTCACTTTTCTAGTGAATGTACCAGAAGCTTTGCACGTCGTGCAGCCTTGCGCCAAAATCGCACATGTATGTGCGAGAAAGTTTGTCACCAATCAGAGTTCATAAATATGATCCAATCGTTCCCCCTTCACTTTGAGGCAAACTCTGGTGTTGAAAGAAAATCTCACACGTAACTTCCAACTTTCCCAAAACTTCCGTTTTCAAGTTGGACCCAACTAGAAGGGGGGGGTCACTATTTTAGCTGCTGGCTTAAAATGATTTTTTTTGAAAGTATGTAACACTTTCTAAAAATGTGTATTGTGAAAGCGCAGCTGACTGTAGCGCAGCAAGGCTACTGCGAATTACCATTCCCCGAGTATATAACGAGGGTTGGAGGCCAATTCATTAGAAACTTTGTAGTTACAGTCCATTCTCGTCCAACCACTCGGTTTCCCGTTCACTTTGATTCTAGTACTACTTCGTAGACAAGTCGCATTTACTACTTCGGTTTCCCAACTGCCACGCACGCACTTCCACGCATGTTCACCGTGAAGAGTAACAGTTTCAGACCTGCGACTATACTTGATGTGCGTTCAACTGAAAGCGAAGTGCGCTGGAGGAGACAGCAACTGGTGCGCCAAGGACGAAATCGCCAGTGGCGCACGCCATGGACGAAATCGCCACTGGCACCAGTGGCGCGCGCCAGGGACGAATTCGCCACTGGCGCCAGTGGCGCGTGCCAGGGACGAAATCGCCACTGGCGCCAGTGGCGCGCGCTAGGGACGAAATCGCCATTGGCGCCAGTGGCGCGCGCCAAGGACGAAATCGCCACTGGCGCCAGTGGCGCGCGCCAGTGACGAAATCTCCACACGCTCGCCTATGGCACTGCGTCAGTGGCGAAATCGCCACATGCGCGCCTGCGGAACGGAATCACCAATGGCGCGGCAGTGACAAAAACGTCCTCTGCAGCGCCTAAGGCGTTTGACTGGGAGTCAACCACCATATATAAGTGCTGCAAGTTCAGTTTTATTTTTATTTTTATTATTATTTTCCTTCGTTATGTCATCCTCTTTGTTGTCTATTAATCCCCCTGCTGCTACTTCACTCCCTCGGTGGCAGAAAAACGGGCTCAACACCACAAATACGGGCTCAACACCACAGAAGTGGGACTCTACTAGTCGTGGCGTAAAAAATCGCACCAGCGACATGATCAACTGCATGCGCACGGAAGGACATCTCCTAATGACAATATGGGGCCGAGGGACCCCGTGTGGCCTGAGAGCCGTCCCCCAGGGGGGAAAGGGGACCGAGGGTCCCCGTGTGGCCTGTGAGCCGTTCCCTAGGGGGGGAAGGGGACTGAGGGTCCCCGTGTGGCCTGTGAGCCGTTCCCCAGGGGGGGAAGGGGACCGAGGGTCCCCGTGTGGCCTGTGAGCTGTTCCCCAGGGAGGAAAGGGGACTGAGGGTCCCTGTGTGGCCTGCGAGCCGTTCTCAAAGGGGGGCAGGGGAACCGAGGGTCCCCGTGTGACCTGAGAGCCATCCCCAGGGGGGGCAGAGGACTGAGGGTCATTGCAAGAACAGAAAACAAGCCCTTTTATCCCAATGGTCTAGTGGTTGGGATTCTACCGTAACAAGACTGTGTTGAAACATATTTCAAAATGAAGCGGAAACCTCCAATACTATACTACATCTCAATAGCAAAATGGGAGCACAGTTGTAGTACCGTATGGCCCCGGATATAAGCTCAGGCCTATTATAAGCGCATGCGCTTGTATCTGGAGCAATGCGCTTATGGCCGATCCTCATTTATAAGCGCACCCCCTGTAAAACCTTGATTTATTATAAGCGCACGTATAATTCTAAAATTTAAACAAGATTAAAACGGTAGCTATTTCAAATTTTGCAGTGAGGATACAACTATTTTCGCTTCGATTGACTTTCGAGGACCTCACATACTGCGCGTCCAGTCAGTATGAGCTGGCATTTCTGATAGTGACGTGTAAATTTTCCCCTGTGCGCCGGCAGAAAATCGCTCACGCGCGAATCTGAATTGCGACTCGCTACCACTTCGATTCGATTGAAATCACAAGAAGGAGATGTACAGTTTGGTGCCAAAGAATTATAAATTTGCATTTGTTATTATATAAGCGCATGCGCTTATAAATCTGACTCAATTATAAGCGCACCCCCCCAAAAAACACTGTTTTATTAAAAGCGCAGGTGCGCTTATATCCGGGGTATTACGGTACCCTAGACCACATGCATCACAAGAAACTGTCTACAGAAGTTATAGTAAGAACTCCAATTACTCCACACCTGCTCATTCCAGTTGAAATGCCAGATACACATAACTCCAGCCATTCCAACCAGGCAACCCACTATTTCCAAGTGGACCCTCCCAGTCGAATAACCTCATCATCCCCTCTCCCCCTGTAACCCTGTGACGGCTGTGCCTCCTTCTTGCTCCCTCCATCCCCATACAGGTCCCTCAGTTTCTTCAGCTGGTCCGAAACTGCACTCTTCTTCTCCTTCTCTGCACTCCTCTCCCTTGATCTCGAACGGTCACGGCTGTCCCTTCCCCGTTCCCTCGACCTCTCTCTTGACCTCCCCCTCTCCCGGTCTCTATCCCTGTCTCTGTCTCTCTCCCTATCTCTGTCCCTGTCCCTGTCCCGATCCCGGTACCTGTCCCTGTCCCTGTCCCGATCCCTGTCCCTGTCCCTGTCCCGATCCCTATCCCTATCCCTATCCCTATACTTGTCCCCATCCCTCTCCCTCTCTCGATCCCGGTACCGATCCCTATTTCTGTCCCGGTCCCTGTCCCGGTCTCTATCCCAATCCCTGTCCCTATCCCTGTCCCTGTCTCTGTCTCTGTCTCTGTCTCTGTCCCTCTCCCTCTCCCTGTCCCTGTCCCTGTCCCCCCTGGCTTTGTCCCTGTCATCTGTCCTGTCAGGCGTGCGTTTTGGGCCACCGCTGCCGCTGCCACTACCGCCACCAGTGCCACTGCCGCTCTTCTTCTCATCCTTAGATCCCATCCTGGTCGACGCTCTATGAGGGGCCCTCTGCCCGAACGCTACAGACAAGGCAGCTTTCACCGACGGCGGCCGCCGGGCGGCACTGTCGTCTGCACCCCTTCTGTCTGCTGATGCTGCCACGCCTGAGGGCTGGGTGGGTAGCTTCAGGGCCTCGAGGTTGGAGATGATCTGACGGCTGATGAGCACTGGGATGCGGGGGAAGAGCGAGTCAAAGTAGTACTGCGGGGAGACGGAGGGGAAGAGGAGGCAGGGGAGAATAGAACCCCGGGGGGCAGCGAGGGGGGGGGGGGGGTGGGGGCAGGGGAGGGTAGGGGACCAGAAGGGCAAGGGAGGGACCAGAAGGGCAAGGGAGGGACACAAAACAGCTTGTGTTATTTATATTTACGATTGATAATGATTTGACGGCTTATGAGCACCAAAATACGGGGGGAGGAAAGGGGAGGTAATGCAGGGGAAGAGGCGGGGGGAATTAAAGGTGGGGGACGGAAGATCGAAGGGAGGGGGAAGGGGAAACCGCAAGAGAGGAAGGAACCGCTAATGAGCACTGGGAGGAAGCGGGGAAGAGTGAGATGGAGCAATACTAGGGGGAAAAGCAGGACCTAAGGGGTAAGAAAGGGACTGGCCTAGCAGCAAGCTCACCTGCCCAAGCAGCAAGTCGCGTACGTAATTCCCCATGGTGGTGTTCTTCCCATTAGTCCCCGGGGAAAACTCCTGATGGGCGCACATGGCACAATCGAACAGGGGAACATGATGGGTCTGAGTGTAGGCACATCAATGAGCGTGGGAAGGGATGGCATGGAATGGCAGGAATGGCACGGCATAAAACCTCGAGAGCATGCACTGCATGCAACAAAAAATTCAAACAGCATAAGGCGAAGCAAACACAGACGGCAAGAAGATGCCGAGGGAGCAAGATAGCAGGGCATCACTTACTAGTCCACCAATAAACGATATACAAGCCTGCTTGATTAATCACAGGATGCTATGCATATCCTCTACATCAGTGCTTGCTCATGTGTTTCCCATTCCTCTACTAAGATATCCGTAGGTAAACGTTCTAACGATCTTGAAAAACATGAGTTCTACGGAAAAACCGTTGTAAGAAAACCAATGCAAAAGAAGGGAGAGATGATCACATGCCCGAGTTACTGCGATGCGTACAGAACGGTACACAAGGATACGAATGGGTACACAGGGGTAAACAAGGGTTCACAAGGGTTCACGGGGTACACACCACTCACCTCTGAGTCCTTTATATACGGCTCACACCAGCCCCACAGGGTCTTAGGCTCTGCCATATACCGGATATACAGAAAGCCAACCTGCGAAGCAGAGGTCGGGAAGGGAGGAGATGGAAGGCCAGGGGAACAGCCGAGCGGGGCCAGGAGGGTGAAGCGAAAACAAGGCATGCAGGTAACCAGCAACAACGATATGACGAGGAGGACAAGGATTTAGACAAAGAAGGGGTGGGGGGCGAATTGGGAGGTGAAAGAGGGACAGGGATAGAGAGAGAGCGCGGGAGAAGGGGGGGAGGTTGTGCGGGGGAGGGGAACAGAGAGAGGGAGGGAAGGGGGGAGAGTGTGAGGGAAGAGAGCAAAGGGAAAATAGGAGGAGCGGGATGGAGAAGAGAGGGGTGGAGACGATAGATATGTCAAGGAAAGGGGAGATATGTCGCTCGAACACATAGTTGTCTGGAAACCATTTATTTTTGTTTCTTTCCGTCGTTTAGAATTCTCTCTTCGGGCCAGCCTCTGCGTCATACACACGGACACAGACACAAACACACCCTCACACACAGGAACACACACGGAGCATGCACTCACACACTCGTGTGCGGACCAAATGCTTG